TAATAAATTAACTAATAGATTAATTAGTTAATTAATCAATTAATTTAAAAAAATTATTTATATATATATATGCGTACGAAGGTGAGGCAAGTAGGCAGTAGAGAAGGGAAGTCCAAGGCGTGGCAGAGGCCGGTCAATCCCGATTAATTGTCTGACGCACTTATATAGAAGAATAGAGGGCGCCTAGCAAATACTGGATTATTCGTGATGTTCCCCAATCTTTCTAGAACTCATTAAATGTTACCAGGGTCATGTGACTTCTGCTGTCGTAACAGTATTCTTTTTTTATATGATCCTATTTGTCTTTTTGCTGGCTCAAATTAATATTAAATTCTGATTAAAGCAAACTACCTACCTAGATCGTAAATAAAAATCAACCTGGGTACATTCACTGTTAGTAGTACTTTCAGCCATAATCCCAAGACCTCAGAAGATACATCCAACTTGGAAGATTGATGTTCATCCTATATGCAAAACAATATTTATAATGAAAGTATAATAATGATAATAAAATTTAACATAAATTAAACAAACTGACTAATAATGTTAATAAAAGAAACATTAAAAAAGAATAGGGTACATTGATGATGAACCACGTGCATTGTGACAAAACTACTTATGTATGGAATGTATAAATATAAGTGGTTTGTTTCATGTACTATCAAAATAGAACACCACTAACAGCAAGGATCCCCAACCTAAGGCAGAGTGGCCATAGAGGTTACTTTGTGGTTTTTCCTGTTACTCGTAGTTGAGATTATTGTTATCAATTATTAACATCTCTTCTGGTAGAAGTTTTTATAAAATATATTTCATTTTCCTTGAAGAAATTCACAAAACTTTACACAATCCTCACTAACAACACTTTGTGATCGTTGAAAGTCCATCAAATTTTTCTGACAGAGTAACTCTAGACAAGTCTGAGATACATTACTATATATATATATATATTACTGTTTTTCAGCTATAGTAGAAGGGAGAGGATTGGCTCGTGGGGAAGTTGGGATGGCTAGTTTGGATCTCAGAAATCCTGAGCTACTTTTGTCACAGTTTTCAGATAGCCAAGCTTATGTGAAAGTTCTTACAAAGCTTCGGATACTGGAACCCATTGAGGTAACAATTAAAATAATCTTTTCAAGTATTTGTCGAGAATGCACATAATATCTGATAAGTGTTTGGTGTATTGTAGAATACTACGGAACATGTACTAATTATTATTATTATTGATATATATATATAATATAAACTAAGTAATTATATGTTTAACATTTAATAGATAATGTAAGCTCTACAGCTCAGTTCTGTCCAAAGTACAAGTTTGTATAGTATGTTGAATCTAAAAACCTACATTAAAGTCAGTTTACTAAAATAATTCTTGCTGATGACAGAAGATATCTTAAGTATAAAAGATTTAGTTCACACATAGCAGGTTAATCTCTCTCAACTAGGTGTACAGTACATATTGATTATATATTATTCAAAACTTCATTTCATATTATGTTGATTTGATGTATGAAGAAAAACTAACAATTGTATCATATTTAGATTATAGTGCCTAACACGGCCTGGGAAAATGTCACAGGGTCAAGAATTGTCCAGCAAATCACTGACCAGTACCCTGATACCACTATTGCTACTGTTCAAAGAAAGTATTTCAATGAGGCCAAAGGGCTACAGTACATTAATCATCTTTGTGTTCCAGAGTACAGTTCAGTAGAGATGGAGGTTGCTACTAAGTGAGATTTAGTTGAATTTGATTAAGATATAATTATTGTATTACATAAATTGTTATATGTAATTTTGTGTATGTTACTCTCTGTAATCCACTAGTCTGCATTACATATGTTTCTGTGTGACTTTTGAAAGACACAGCTTGCTAACCCTCATAATTATGGGACTGTGCAACATTATACAATAGAGCACTGTTATAACACTCTTTATAGAGGAAACTTTGCGTAAGTCATTTTTATAGAGTTATTGTAGCTTGTGAAATACATAAGATGATGAGGCTCTGTTTTTAAATCATTCAGTAGATCAGTATTAATATTATATGTTCTTACTTGGCACATTATGTAAACTACATAAATAAAACACTGACCCCAGTACTTTATTGTTGCGTCAGCGAGGTCACGTGACTAGTATCACGCCACGTCCTTCTCGAACCTTCGTGAATTATCGGGAGACTACTAGATTGGGGGTATTCTGGTATATATAAGACGGTCACAACGTGACGGAACAGTGTGTAATTGAACTGAGTATTGTCGAGCATGAGCACGTGAGACGTTCTTTGAGATTTATAGCGTTTGTTATAGAGCGACTGTTGAAATTAAGTGTGTCGGTAAAGTTGTATTCGGAAAGAATAAACCAGTTTTATTTAAGAAAGGACTTGTGTCGCTAAAGTTTCGTTGGAACGAATTTACGGAAAATTAATTAACGAACGAACGGAGACATAACATTATTTTCTCACAGGAAGTTCACAAGTTATTCGATAACCTTCATTATAAGTTTCGAAACAAACTTTAGTAAAGTGCATAACCTAATTTATTATAGTTTTGTGTTTGTATAATTCTGTAAAGGTCCTTTTCATACAAGTCTGCATGGTACATATAAACTGTTTTTGTATAATTCTGTAAAGGTCCTTTTCATACGAGTGTGCATGGTACATATAAACTATTTTTGTATAATTCTGTAAAGGTCTTTTTCATATAAGTCTGCAGGATATATATAAACTGTTTTTATATAATTCTATAAAGTTCCTTTTGATAGGGGTCTATATTATTCATTTGATATGGGTTTGTATGATATATGTCAACTGATTTTATAAACTTTCTTGTATAAAATTTAACAGTGTTTTACTCGTAATAATAATAATTAATAACATGTTATTTCAGTTGAAATTGAAACTTTACAGAATAATTAACTTCCTTTGAAGTAAGCAACTAGCTGAAGTGAAGAATCAAACAAGTCCACACGTTTGAATTTCAGTAAAAATCAAAGAAATACCATAAGTTAAACACTTTGTGAATCCTAATAAATTAGGCTACCATCCTGAATACCCATTTCCACAAGATTGCAAACTCGTAGCTCAAAATACCCCTGAATTGTTTTTTACAGTTTTTAAATCTACTATGCACAAACTACTAGTAATTTTTGGAATAACATTTAACAGTCTTATTCAATAACAAATCAATATATCTCCAATACCTGATAACACACTTTATTATTAGGGTTTGAAGGGTAGTTGTCAAAACCAGTTCAGAATGTAGTTAACATATAACAATGGTATGTCTGTGGACTTACAATGCTTGAATCTGGGTTTCGATACCCATGGTGGGCAGAGCACAGATAGCCCATTGTGTAGCTTTGTACTTAACTTCAAATAAACAAACAAACACAATAATATTCACTGAGTTCTTTCGTATGCACTTTCATTTTAAAATCATAATTTTTTTTTATAAAGTACACAAATGAGCAAATGAAGAAAGCTTTTATTCACCAATGTATATGTGTATAATACAAAACTGGCCAGCTTCTTAGTCTCATTGAATTTACTACAACTGGCTGCTAGGGTGAAAAGGAAGATTTATGTAAACATTCAGACAGAGTTAAAAATGTGTTCACACATGACAAGAATGGAATAATGTAATACTGTTATATAAACATTCATACAGAGTTAAAAATGTGTTCACACAAGACAAGTATGGAATAATGTAATACTGCTTTTATATAAACATTCATACAGAATTAAAAACATTTATTTACATAAGACAAGTATGGAATAATGTAATACTGCACTTTCAAGCCAGACGAAGGCAGTTTACAATACTTAGATTGTTTATATCAGTGACTATTCCAAATATCACATACAATAGATAAAATCCTTCAACTCATACCAACTTGTACAAGTATCTGTGTCATTCCTTTTTATAAGCAAACGGATTAGTATACATTTATTAACCTTATATTGTCTGGTTAATTTAGATGTTAATAACTAAATGCAGAACAGACTTTTACAGTAACACAATCATAATTAAATGGTTATTTGTGGATTGAGGTGAAAGGAAACAGGCGATAGCTTTCAAAAAGTATCATTACACAACATAGTACATAAATGTAAACCAATACTGTAACAATATGATTATGGTTCTATGCAAGCCATCTATATAATTCTGTCTATATGATAAACCATACAAGCTATTGTAATGATACAGTGTTTGTTTCTTATATTGATCTAACTATCCTGAAACACTAAGATTGTATGAATATTTTACTTAACTGAAGTAATGTAGGTTGATGTTGCCACTCCATTCACATATAAAGGCTCCAGTTTGTGTGTATATGTGAGAACTTGTTTGGTTGTGCTGTTATGTAAATACATAGGTATTTGCTATACTTTATAGAAGCTAACTTGCTTGGAAAACAGCAAGAGTTGTCATTCTATAGTTGTGACAGTGGTATGGATAATGGTTTGAATATGTTGTTATCACTGCTTCAGTGTTATTTATTAGTAACCTCTATAATGGGATTATATAATACATTGTATAAACCCAGTAATGGCTCTAGCCTATCACGGACTCTTGGAAGCATTGCTTCTTGGAGTATTTTTCTGGTTTACAAGCTCATTAAGGCCAATGGAATTTAGGAGTTAGTATAATCTTAAAGCTAAAGAAAGTTAATGAAATTTCAATTTTTTTGTTTCATTTTGAGCTGGTAGAACTTTAAGTAACTTATTTATTTGCTGTATTCATTGCATTTAATTTTATGTAAACCAATACTATTATGATGTATATATATTACAGTTTACTTTCAGGTACTACTGTCTTGCTGCTGGTGCTGCCTTGCTGAAATATGTTGAATTTATACAAAATGTATTGTATGCTCCTCATTCTCTCAAGATCATCTTCCGAGGAAGTGAAAACACAGCTGTCATTGGTAGGTTCTACTGGATCATCGATCTTTATGACCTTACTCTAAACCCTTAATCACATTCCATTAACATTTCTTATGGATTGGGTGAGAACAAAAAGAAGAAGGTTATAGCGGGTCTATCAAGACATGGAGGCCACCCACCAAACCACAAGATATCTCTCTTCATTCATGTGCATCATGCACATAGGCAAAGGAGGTCGGTGGTGAAATGTGTAGTTTCATACCTTAAATTGCACTGATATGTGTAAAAAATAGATATTACAGTTGATAAATATAAATAAAACCTTTGTTGGAAAATGTTTTTGATTGTTTTGGGACTTGAACTCGGGTCCATTCACTATCTGTGCTTTACTGAGGTATTGTTCGAAGCTATTAACTACGTTAGCATAAATTAACTCTTTTCAGATGAAAGGAACATTATTGATATCCCTTTATTTTTTTATTGTCACGTGGAAATACTTAACCAAACTAGATGAAACTTAGTACAGATTTGTTAAACGGTTTCTAGTTTCAGCTTAAAAAAACTTGTATGACTTGACTTAGTATTTCTATGATTTGTTGTTGTAAAATTTCCAAAGGTTACAAAATTATGAATCATACTTCTATAACCCCCTCTAGCATTGTTTTATCACTCATTTCCTGTTTCCTTCAAAAGTTACACCCACTTTTATAAATCTCTCACTACACCTCTGTGTTAGGTGGATGAACTTTTACAGTTGAGCTTTTGAATTATTAATATGATAACTTACAGATTTTGCGACAGCAAAGAACCTGGAGCTATTGGTTAATCTTTGTGACCCAAAGAGTGACCACAGTTTGTTTGGCATCCTTCACCACACCAAGACCGTTGGAGGTTCTCGATTCCTTAGAGCCAACATCCTCCAACCTCCTTGTCATCAGGAGACTATTGAAACTCGACTAAACTGTGTAGAAGAACTCACGGAAAATGAAGAATTGTTTTTCAGTTTACAGGTAATGATTTTTAAGTATGGAATTTTTTCTTCCTTATATTCCTGTAAAACATAATAAGTTTGTAAGATACCATTTCAAAAACTTGTAGTTGTTTTTATAAATGTTTAAGGACATTAAAGCCTTATCTTAGGAAACTGTTTCCTTTGAAGAAAATAATAAGTAAGTCCTAACTAATTAAGTGAAGGAACTATTGTAATTTTGTAGTTTCATGTAGTGTAAGTTATATTGTGTAAATAACCTTCCTAGTATAGAATTACACTCTCTCTTCAAACTTGTATGGTAATGTAAAACATAACATTAAATGCAGGTGCATTTCATGATTTATTGGAATTATGATGTTTAGTTAGTTTGTTTGTTGTAAAGCACAGAGCTATGCAATGAGCTGTCTGTGTTATGCCAACCATGGATATCAAAGCCCAATTTTTTTGTATTTTAAGTCTTCAGACTTACCACTGAAGATTAATTATATTAAGAACTAGCTAAAATTAAGCTTCAGTTAACAGTTTAAGAGCCAACAGAACATTTTTGTAGTTCAAGTATAAGAGGGTAAATTAAATTTTTCTATTTAAAGCCAGTTATACACTGAGAACAACAAGACTCTCTTAAATTTTTAACTATGCTTTTTTACTAAATTTCTGTTCATGTTGTTAATGTTATCAATTCCAGTCAGAACATTACACTTGATGTGATCAGTCACACACACCCAGTGGGTAAGTCAGACTTACCGTGCTAAAGTGTAAGGTTCAACTTCCCATGGTGGATAGAGCATATTTATGCCCACTGTGTAGCTCTGGGCTAAAACAAACAAAATTAAGTGGTCAGCCTTAGTTGCTAGTTTGAGATTATGGTTAAAGCTAACAGAATTTAATGTTATGGATAAAGCTATCAACTCGATTTTACTGAGTTTTGCAAGGAAGTTAAGGACCAGAAAGAGATTTATGAATACAGTCTCAGAATAGTCATAAAATTCCTTTTTCTAAAACTAAACAGTATTTTTTTGCAATCTGTTTTTTTTTCTTACTTGTAGTTTTATGAATTGTTTTTGCATGGTGATAATCACAGGCAGTGCTAGGAAGGTTCCTGGATGTAGAACACCTGCTATCACTTTGTATTCAAATTCCAAAACAGGAGAATACCCGCACAGCTGAGCAGAAAATCACAAACATCATTTACTTGAAGCACACTTTAGAATTGGTTGAGCCACTCAGGGCTGCTCTTGATCATAGCAACAACCCACTTTTCAGGACTTACTATGAGGTATTGGAGATGTAAGCATAGAATTAGAAGCTTGTATTTATTAGAGGTCATGTAGTCTCAACCCACTTTATAGGACATTATAAAAAGTATTAGAAATATGGGCGTAGAAATAGGTACTTATTAGAGGACACTGCTTTGAACAACCCATCTTCATTGGTTGAATTTTGGACAGGGTTCCTCAGTTATCTTTTCCAACAAAGAGATCTTTGGTAATTACTTTGATCAGTTTCCTAAGCATGGATATATTCATTTTGTTTCTTATCCTAAATTGCAGAGTTTTGCACACTGACAATGTAATATTATTAAAACACTGTCATAAAGAACAGTAGGATGTTCAGCCAGAGTGTCTAAAGTACATGAGAGGTACAAGCAACTGTACCAATGACACTTGGAGACAATTATATTGAGTTGATAACAGCTTGCTGTAATTGGTTGCACTCTACTCATCCAGTGCCTCCACATAAGCAAAACATCCAAGTACCTCCTATGAAGTCTAGCCACATATTTGGTTCTTAATTGACCCGACATTCTCAAATACAGTGATCAAAACCATGTATCTGTTCTAAAATAAAATGTTACTTACTTACTGTAAAAACTGTAACTTGTAATAAAATATAGTTAATCAGTAAGTAAACTCAGAATGAAACTACCATTTCAAACAATGTTCCCATAAAGACCAGCCACTATTTAAAGTTACAGCTGAAGTTACAGTGAGCATATTTTAAATAAAACCAAATACTTCTATACATATACTGTAATGCCCTGTAGACTAACCAGTTGTAAACTTACAGCTCAAGTGCTTTCTGGTAGCTCTAGAAGATAAGATGTCTCTTGATCAGCTATGTGATCTGAAATACTAATAACTCACTAGTAATTGAAACATCATACCTTTTCTAAAAACAAATCTTTCTTACTGTAAAAGCCGTAACTTATAATAAGATATTGTTTGAAACAGTTTTTCAACTTAGAACTTCATAGTGTTTGATCAAATACAGCCACAAAGTATATTGTTGCGTCAGCGAGGTCACGTGACTAGTATCACTCCACTCCTTCTCTC